TCTCCTCGGGAGGCACAACAGTTGGCTGACAAAAACAAAACAGAAAGCCGTCAACTTTGGCCCTGGTCATGTGCCGGCTCACCTACATACATAATATAAACTGTGAGCGAAAGCCCAGTGAATAATAATAGAGTAAAGGGTTTCAATGAATGAGTTCGTACAGATTCAAAAATCATAATTCAGATTTGTATCAAATTCATCATTTGTCCAGATCATATACAGACAGAAATCATAAGTCATGATTAAGCTTACGTGATACATCCTTAGCATCATGTGATATCTGTTAGCTGTTACCCGGTATCGGAGGTTCCTTTATGGAACTTATCTCTGTCTGCACTCTGTTACCCGTACCGGAGGCCCTGTCACAGGGGCTCAATTTCTATTCTGTTGCCCGGATCCAGAGGTTCCTTTATGGAACTGGTTATTCATAACCTCACGTGTATACGTTTTGTTCTGTTCTGTTAATGCTAATGGATGTATCACGTAAACTTAATCATGACTTATGATTTCTGTCTGTATATGATCTGGACAAATGATGAATTTGATACAAATCTGAATTATGATTTCTGGATCTGTACGAACTCATTCATTGAAACCCTTTACTCTATTATTATTCACTAGGCTTTCGCTCACAGTTTATATTATGTATGTAGGTGAGCTAGCACATGACCAGGGCCAGAGTTGACGGCCTTCTGTTTTGTTTTTGTCAGCCAACTATTGTGCCTCCCGAGGAGGTTCCGAACGAAGCCTAAAGCCATGGCTGTTTTTTGTATTCATGCTAGTCTTTGTGTATGCTCTGTAAAGTCAGATCTTGGGAAGTACATTCTATAAATACCTTGTAAATGTTGTGTATCTGGACTGGCATGTTTATGTATATATAAATGAGTTTTGAAATGTTCTGTCCCATGTATGTTATCATAGCTCATTGGACCTTGTCTATTTTGTATTATTGCTTCCGCAGCCCCTTATTATTTGCTAATCTGTTCAGAGGCCTTTGGTAATCCACGGATTACTGGCCGGTTACGGTGCTAGACCTACAAGGGCGGGTTTGGGTCGTGATAATCGCCCAAATCACATTTGTACATCATCAGTTTACTTTATATCAGTAGTTATATAGCTTTGTAATACCGAGCCTCTTGCTCTCACTTTTCTCATCCACTATGAAATATTGTTTGTGTTTGGTTGATAAATTCACATAGTTTATAAAGTCACTATGAAATATTATTTTTCTAATGTCTATTTTCTTCATATTATTATAAAGTTTTCTATTAAAAAATATAATTATAAATATCACGTGCAATGCATGTGTATAACACCACTAATTTATTAAAAGATCTAAATAATTTAATACTTTTTCAAGAAAAAAAATTAATATGGCTCATATGTATATTGGCGTAAGTGGGCCAGTTTGAGATTTAGATATTCTTTTAAGGCCAAGCTTAGAATGATTAAGTTAGGCTCGATGTTGATCCAACCTGAATTTGGCGCAGCCCGATGTTTGTCTATCCCTATGCACACAAACTCAATAAATGTACAAGGTGGGTAATTACCAACTAGTCTCATTAAGTCTTATTAGCTTTTTAAATACACTAATAAGTCTTACAATACATATACCTATTAAATTTTGTCATCTTCTCTTCTTGAATACACCAAATAAGTCTTACAATGCATATACCTATTAAATTTTTTCAATTTCTCTTCTCTTCTCTATATCTCTCTCTCTCCACCATTTTTCCAAAAGTTTTCCACCACCATTATCTACCACCACTGTTGCCGCCACCGTTGCCTACCCACCACTACCACCGTCGTCGTTGTCCACCTATCATTTTCTCTTGTCTCTCTCTATCTCTCTCTCTACCATTTTTTCTAAAGCTTTACACCACTATTGTCTACCATTACTGTTGTCATTGTCATCTACCCACCACCACCGTCATTGTCATCTACCTACCACCGCTACCCTCGTTATTTGGATGCTGCCACTGTTCACTATCTCCATTATTGTCACAGATCTATACTCTGTTGTCAGTAATCTATACTTTATCGTCGTAAATCTATACTTTGGGTGTCAATTTCCGACCACACTGCCAACTTAGTACTTAGCTGGAGAGCATTGACATAATAGATTAAGCCCGAACGTCCTGCAACAGAAAGAAGAGATTCCCGCGGTGGTTCGTCCACCCAGGGGCACACCGACGATCAAGTTAGTTATCTCTCAAAGATAGCAAAAGTACTTAACTCACTATTCAGAATGTAAATTGCGTACCTTAGACCCATGGGGGTGCCTCTCGTTTATAGTTAATTCAATCTTAGTCCCAATAGAAGACTTGTTTCAATGGACTTTAGCTTCGTGCTTATTTTAGACTCTTTAATAGATAAAGATAAACTCCCTAAGAGCTTTGTCCTTATCCAGACTGAGTTCCTTTCTCATTCTAGGACTCTTGTCCCTTATCCGCTTATCTCGGATTTCGATATCTTCGGAGATAACCTCGGCCTATCTGAGATCACCTCGGCGTCATGACCAGGACACGTGGCACCTCGGCTGACACGTCGGCATCACCTTGGCCATGTGTTGGTACTCAAAAAACATATCCCCACAACTGCCCCCTAGGTTCTATTACCTCGGCATCCTGAGGTGATGGAACCTATATCAGTACTTCCTTCTAGCTCGTCGGCTAAGCTCGCTTCTTTATTTATTGCCGAAGTAAGAACTCATTGGCTTAGTATGGCCAAGTCCTATAGCCTGTTTCCATTAATGCCTCAGAACCACTAACCCGAGTTGTTCAAATGTCTCAGCCGAGACCATCCTCCAAGCCGAGGTACTGCTTCATGAAATCAAGAATTCCAAGAGCCTTACTACGCGCATGAGCTGTCACGCAAAATAAATCAACCGTTTCTGCCATGCGTTTGTCTCCTACTGGACCATGTCCGACACACGCTTGCAAGTCGTCTTGTGTCTAGGTGCGCCGTCTGACAAGCACGTCGCCCTAGATGCATTGATGGTTTTTTGCCGCCATTCTCCGCGTTTTGATCAAAATCAATTCTCTCTTTCCGTCTTTTCACTTTTGCATCCTCGTTCCCAAGCTCCAACTCTTTCTCTCTCTAACTTCTCTCTTCAGAATACGCCATTGTTCCAGATTTTCAAGCTCTGTAACTTTGCTCCGTTGACCTCTTCCGACATGATTTTCACCGCTCTGTCACTTTTGCAACCGTCGTCTGACTTCGGTAATCCCCACACCGGCCTCACTTTTTCTGGTAAGCCACTGTTCCTCCTGGTTTTAGTTCTTGATTTACTTCGAACTATGATATTTCTGGGAACTTGCTCATGTCTTCGATCATTTTAATCTGTACCTTAAACAATTGAGTATGTTTGCTTCGTGATTCTGTTTTTGCCCAATCTTTCCTTGAATAAACACTACTCACAATTTGGTTCATTTTTGCCACTGTTCTTGGCCTTGTACCCTTGCACACACTCTGTCACAGTGTTCTTGGTGATTCACCACTATTCTTGATTCTGAATCATTGCTCTTGTTTGTGTTTTCTGTATTTTCTCTGGATTCTTGCCTTCAATCCCCGTTTACTTAGACTTAGGTTTAAGATCTTGCCCTAGAACACACGAATCTTAGGAAAAACTAAAACAAATCCCCCTCTGATTTTCACAAATTCTTACCCCATCGGGAACTTTAGGTTTTGCCGAGGTCCCTCAAACCCTTCCAAAACACTCTCTTTTGAAATCCAACTCCTCTAATTAAGCCGACGTTATGGGTATATGGAAGCATAGGTTAGACACCCCGACTAAGTTAGAATGCTTTAGGCGGGAATTTTCCATCCCTACCGACTTCCACCTCAGGTTAGCAGGGGAGGAGGATTCCATTATGCCTGATATGAACCTCATGCCTTTCCCAGTAGTGGCCTTTATCGAGTGTGGACTTTGGTTTCCACTTGACACCTTTTTCCGTGAGATACTCCATTACTATAAGTTGAACCCAATGCGGCTCGCCATCAATTCCTACCGAGTCATCAATGGTATAATAGCCTTAGCCAAACAAGAGAATGCTAGGGTTACCTTAGCCGACGTCCAATACTGCTACACTATGTGTCGCTTGAAATCGGAAAAAGGCCATATCTATTACCTCAAGCCGAGGTCCACTGAGTACAAGCTCATTGCCGATCTCCTAGACTCAAACAAGGGTGCTGGAGATGATTACTTCATCATCTAAGGCAACTGGGAATTTCAACCAAACGATGACCTCCACCTTTATCCCCTAAGCCGAACAGTTTTCGGAGAAGAAGATGGTAAGGGCCAAGTGTCACTTTTTCTTGTTCTCTCTTTTCTACAGTTTTCAATACTTTGTTCTAACGTCTGTGCTCTTCTTTTTGCAGTTCTTCCCTAGCCACCAAAGGGTTTTCGCAAGTCTTTCTTCCTCAGCAAGGACTTGAAGAAGTTATTAGATTTGCCAGTCCATACGCGGAGAGCCCCTCTGCTGCTCAATTTCATTCCTACTTACAAGTCGGTTCTTCCCGACGTTCCAAAGAAGAAGAAGAAGAGTCAGTCTCCTCCGTCCACCACTACTCCTTCCATCACTTCAACATCTCGGCCAGATCAAGGATCAACCTCAGATCCAGCAGAACAACCATCTACTTCGGCTCCACAGCTGATCCTGCCATCCCAACGCCAACGACGACACCGAACTGCAATTCCCGCCGAGATGGGTCATAAGAAGGCAGTCGCTGAGGATCTCTTGGCCGACATTCCATCCACTGTAGACGCCCAACCTGTGCGGTCCCAGGCTCCACCAAAATCAAAGAAAAAAAGATTAAAGAAGGCTTAGCCAAAGGCAACGGTGACTCAGATTGATACTGAGGACACCTTACCAATTTCTTAATTGGCTTCGAGCGAGAAAACCCCTTCTGCTGTCGAGAAGAGGCCCGCCGAGGCCGAACCATCCCAATCAACTCAGTCCAAGAGGCCGAGGTCCTAGTCTACCACGATCTCGGGGACAATGAAATCAGATGCCCCCTGGGCCCCTCCGATCACCATTGAAGACAAGCCGGTCAAAGCGGGTGATAGTGCGACCGACATCGAAGTCGACGTCGCCCTCTCCACAGCTTTGCTGCTTTCAAATGATCTTAACCGCAACGCCGAGATGAGCGAGTACGAAAACTTTGCTTTGATGCTCCAGCACTCTGTTTAAGTAAGTCTTCCACACTTGGTATTTTTCTTTCTCCATTCTTTCATACTCAGAAGATTTTACTAACTTTTGTTCTGCTGATTCTCTTTTTGTTCAGGCTATCCAGCACGCTCACTCCTTCTCAATGCAAGCTTTTGAGGTGAGGAAGGAGTTGGCCGACAAAATCAGGGAGGTCGCCGCTTTACAAAAGTCCCTCAACAGGGCCAAAGACAAGATGGAGACCTTGGCAGATCAAGCCGAGGCAGCTGTAAAAGCTCAAGACGCGGCTAAGGAGAAAGCTGACGCTGCAGAGGCCATTGCCAAGGTCCTCTCAGCTGAAAAGAAAGAGGCCGAGGCAAAAATGGCCGAGGCCCAAAAAGAACTCCAAGATGCCCTGGCCACAAAGGAGGCTGAGATCAAGGTCGCAGATGAAAAGGCATACGCTGAGGGGGTGGCCGATGTCACGACAGACTACAAGCGTCAGGTGAAGCAGGCATGCAACAAGGGTTTCACCCTTGGTTGGATGTCTGCTCTAAAAAAGCTTGACGTCCCGAGGACTCCCTCCTCAGAAATGCCGACGTCCTTGTCTTGCTATGCCTCCCTACTCCAAGCCAATCCGAAGAAGATTTTGAGTCTGAGGAGGAAGCTTTGGTGAGGAAGACCAAGGAGACTGCTGGAGCCAAGTCTCCTACTCCAAATAAGCAAGTCATGGACTTGACTCAGGATGAGGAGGGTGAGGAGGTTCCAAAAGATGTTACTCTTGAGAAGGAAACCTCGAACGCGCTTATCGCCGATAAGAGCCTCGACCAAACCCTTCAGGAAATAGATGCCGAGCTCGCGGCTAAGAAGGCCGCCGAGATATCTTCCCAGCAGTCTTCCGAACTGCAGACTCAACCATCCGGTGCTGCCGAAGAGTCTTAATTTGATGTCTTTTTCCTCTTTTTCTATATATTTTGTACTTTGTTTTTCTTCTTTTTGGAACAATTGTAAGCTTGGCCGACATGTCGTCTTTTGAATGTTAATACAACTTTTTCTTTTGAATGCTTGTACGCTTGTCTTCCCTTTACTGCTCTTGCTTTTATACTTAGAATATTTCGCATATCTTCAATGTACACCTTGACTGTGTAATCTTCTTGGAGTGAAATACCTCGGTTGTACCCACCAACGGTTTATATCGGCAAGTACATAAGTACTTATTTTAATACAACATTGGCCGTCAGTTATAAGAATCAGTTATCTACGGGTACCGGGTTCAGTTTTTGGGAACAGTAATTTCTGGGAATAGTGATCAGCAGTAGGGTACAGTTGTTCGGCTACACCCGTGTTTGATCCATTTGGGGCTGAAATGCTGTTTGTTTCTCCTTTCAGTTCAGAGAGTCACAGAGTTGATACAGAATAGCCAGTGTCTCCCCTTGCCGAGGCAGGATTTATGGCAGCACAAAATTCAGAAGAAGTTGTGGTTATGACGGCTGCATTGGAGCAGGGGACCGCTCCGCAGAGTGAGGCCAGCATCAGTATGTCACACCCACCCAGGTCGCCCGTTGTGCACCCGGTCTGGGCTCCCCAGTTATACCAGGCTCGTGAGCCCACCACCTTTGAATTGATGGGAATGATAGGTGACCTCCAGAGGTCCGTGGCCGATCTGGCCTATGGAATGTCGGCTTCACCGCCAGCGGCGCCGTATGCCGGGAGTTTCGTACCACAGGAGCCCCCGCTACTGGGGCGGATTGTGATAGAGCTCAGCCAGCCAGAGGTGGCTTCCAGCTACAGCCGCGACATGCCAGCACCAACCCAGACCCTTGATCAGGCTGAGGCTAGAGGAAAGGACAAGGCAAAGGTAGATGACGATCCTATTGAACAACTGCTGTGGGCAGTCGAGGCTCTGAAAGTCAGAGGGATGAACAAGCAACAAACATCTGCGATCGTGATCAATGCTGTGGATGATGCTTTCCCCGCTCTGATCAAAGGCAGTTCAAGCCAGGTAGAAAATCGGGATGGGCCCCGTCATGCCCAGACAATTCCTATAGTTTCCAACCCTGCACCGGGAAAGGTTCAAAAAGCCAAGGCAGTGCCAGCCGACCCTTTCGCTAGCGTATCTGGCAAGAATCCTCAAACTTCAAAGTACCTGCCCCGAGGGCGTAGGGTCTTTCACGACCTCCACATGCCTTTGTCTAGGGCATTACTAATATTGGCAAAGAATGGGCATCTTAAACCTTTGGAGCCTCGGCCACTCCCGAAGAATCTCCCCGCCACGCATGATGCTACCTTGTACTGCGCGTACCACCAACAGTCCGGTCACAGTACCGATGATTGTTCCCGCCTTCGTCATGAAGTGCAGGATTTGATTGACAACAAGGTTATCCTTCCACCCACCTCAGCCAAGTCCGTTACCACCCAGTTGTTGGATTTCGAGGGCTCAGATACTGCGAGTATGTAAAGTGAACCGCCTGCGGGCGACATTTGGTGTATTTTAGGTGTAGCGTCTGGCATGCATTTTTGAGCATCGGTGAAACCGAGTTTTTTTAAATCCTGGCTTGGATATCGAGTCAGTCTTTTGTTTTGAGTCTGTCTCTTTGTCTTGAGTTAGTCTTTTGCTTAAGGGTCTGTCTTGTTGTGTCGAGTCAGTCCCCTTTGTATATAATACTAGATGATTTTGGGGTTGTTGTCCCGAACGCCGTTTTGTTATTATCTGTTTTTGTTTTGAGTCTGTTTCTGCCAAGGAGCCAATTACACCAATCAATCCGAACGGAACAGCTGTTGCTATCTCAACTTCATGCTTGCTTTCAGCATAAGGGCCAGAGAATTTGATTGGGTCGACAGTACATCTCGCCTGCTCTCCTGCGCGCCAAACTCATTGCATTAACCTAAGTTTTTCAAAAAAAAACAAACCTTTTTGAACACTGCGGTGATGAAAATGAAGAGGAAGGAATTCCTCGGGTTTTGCAAAATTTTGATCATTTTGAGAGAAAGAGAGGCGTGCTAAGCCTTTTAATGAGTGAAATCATGCTTGTCGGCGTGAGTACTGAGAAGGATCCTGGCCTGATCCAGATTGGTTCCACGCTATCTTCGGCGCGAGCGATTTGTCGCTTTCTTAAAAACTTTCAAAAACAAATATTTTGCGTGGCCCTGCGAAGACCTGTGTGGAATCCCTCTTGAGGTCGCGCAGCCTAAGATCGCTCTTAGCCTCAAGATTCAACCCATTTGTTTTCCGACTTTGAACCCGTTCAGAACGTTCAGAAAGTTCAACGGACAAATGCCATGAAAGGTCTGTATGGCTAGTTTTGAAACAGCCCTTGAGCAAGAAGCATCAAAGCCGAATCAGAAGAAGTAGATCTCGCCGGAAGAAGCTCGTGGAGTAACCGGGATGGATTCTCCTCTAAACCATTGCAACGGCCGTTCTCCTAGACACAGAGAGGCTTCAATTTCAAAAAAAAAACCATTTGGCATGGACTTGCTACGCTTTTACCCTTTGAGAGGCTCGCTGGGCCGAAAACCCGGAAGGGCGACCCAGGCAAAAGTTAGAGCAAGAGAAAAATACAAGAAAAAGAAAAAAAAAAGAAGAAGCAAAAATACAAAAAAAAAAGAAGAAAAGAAAAGAAATGAAAAAAGGAAAGATGAAAAAAAGAAGAGAAAAAAAAAAGAAAGAGAAAAAGAAATGCACAAAAGAAAATGAAAAGAAGCTCGCAAGGTCGAAAACCCGCATCGGGCACCTTGGCAAAAGTGAGAGCCAAACAAAGTGAAGGTTAAAATACCCGAGTGGACCTTAACCGGAACTACGTAAGGCTTGATTCCCATGTTTGGGATACGTAGGCAACTTCATCATGAAGTCCAGCCCCCAACGCTTTCATAAGCGTCTCAATCCATGCAATGGTTTCGATTTCACCTCAAAGTCCAGTGGCCAACACCCTTCAAGGTGACTGTGTCCATATATGTGTTGTGACCGTCTTCGTCATCTCTGTGTCTAAGAGCTCGACCACCGCCAATGAAGACTGTCCGCGGATTGCTGCGGCACCATTCCAAACAAGGGGCAACTTTCCGTTGCCACAAGCCGTCGTGAGACGCCATTCAGACTAGGGGCAACTTTCCGTTGCCTCCCACCCTCCTTCAAACCAGGGGCAATTTTCCATTGCCTCCGAACCAAGGTTGCGCATCTCGAAGAGTAAGTTCCATGCTTGTTAAGCATCAGCTGTTTGAAAAATAGTTTTTGAAAATTTTTACTGAGGTTGACTATTTTCTCGAAAACTATGCATTGACTGTTTGAAAAATAGTTTTTGAAAATTTTTACTGAGGTTGACTATTTTCTCGAAAACTATTTCATTTTCCAAAACTGAACCATTGTCTTGGACCCAAAAAGGAAAATTTTCAGTGCTTGCAGCCTGACTCGCATCGTCTTCAGCTCGTCCTCAAAGCCAGCGTTAAGGAAGGAGATAGCCGCTTACTTGTTATCAATGTGGACATGCATGGCACATGAAGAGATTTTTCCTCAGTTCGGTGGCACACCTGGTGCATCTGGTTCGAGGCAAACACAGAGCCACTAGTCTACACAGTCAGCATAGGCCTCGAGGGCCAATCAAAGAGCCACTTCGGCTCAGTCAATGCATCAGGCTTATGCTCCGAGGGGTGAGCAAGTTAAGCAGAGACCGGCAAGGCATGTGTATGCTGATACCGCGCCAGATTTAGTACAAGCACCTTCAGTAGTGAGAGGTACCTTTTTGTTTTGCAATTCAGTTGCTAATGTGTTGATTGATACGGGTGCATCCCATTCATTTATCTCGTCTGCATTTGCATTGTTTTGGGGTTAGAGTTGGCTTAGTTAGCATTTCCTATCTTTGTAAAGCCATCTATTGGGGGGTGAAATTATTTTGAAGAAGGGATGTCAGGGTGAAATTAGATCGGTTTATGCAAGGCTTAAACCAAGACCAACCCAATCCAACTCGATCCAAAAAGGTCAGTTTGGTTTGGTTCTTCAGTTCACTGGGTAATTTGAACACCTCTAACTTACACCTCTGACTAAAATTTAAATCTAAATCAGAATGAAACGAATGCTGTGTTACGGGCTGTATGCAGATTAATCCCCCAACAGAGTAAGGGCTGTGTGTCCAGAATCAGGCAGTGGGTTGCTTGGGTTATTTTGCTGTTGGCTGTTTAGTTATCTGATTATTACAGTGCGAGTGTTCAATTTTCAGACAACCAATCAATTTCATTTACATTGAGGTGTAACATGATAAGATGCGATGCAATGCATGAGATATGTAAATGTAACACTTTTTAAGCAAAAATCTGTTCATTTCATAATCTTTTTCAAGTACAAAATTTTGAAGAAAACAAAATCTGCCTGCGGCAGTACAAGGTAATCTAACTACCAACAAAAGCAAAAGTACAAAGAAGAAAAGGTGACAAAAATCCGCATCTGTGTCGAGCACTCCGGGGGGGGCGTCAGTCCGTCCTAGTCCTCTTCCTGGACGAGGGTCCAGAAGCATCATCAGCATCGTCGTCAGAGCCCGAGCTAGTGCCTCCTCCGGTCTCCTCCTCTGATGACTCTGACTCCACCTCTGCCTCCGCCTCTGACTCCTCGTCATCATCATCGTCCGGGACTAGAGCTCGCGAGCTACTCCCGACATGAGTACGCCCTCCCCTGGTACGGGGAAATATCCGGCCCTCCTCATCTCTCCCCCGGGCAGGGACAGAAGGCCCAGCTGGAGCACCTCCTGCCATGGGAATCTGGAAAGGAGGCTGAAAAAGTACACAAAAGGAAAATGCATCAGTATACTGTAGACAGTTTATCAGTGCAGAATACAGTGTGTGAGTACAGTGTATGAATGCCGTGGGCAGTTTAACAGTGCAGAATGCAGTGTATGCAGTGTGTCAGATACTGTGAGATCAGTGTATCAGGTGTTATGCCGTGCGTCAGATTATGTAAA